TAATGGCCACTACACTCACACATGCCTGCTGATTCTGTTGTTTTGGTGTACTGTTGTTGTCTTCCACTGTTACAACTGATGCAAAGTAACAATTCAGTTCCTCCACCATTTCTTAGTTCCTCATTACTACTTCTCCAGCCTAATTTTCCAGAGGTACAATGTTCACTCTTGCCTCACTCTTACCTTTTATATATCTAAAAAAAACTCTTGCTAGCTTCTTTTTATTTACTAGTTACCTCAGCCTCATATTTCATCTTCTCCCCCCTTATTGCATTTTTACTTATCCTCTGATGTTTTTTAAAGGCTTCCCAGTAATCTTCACAATATTGTATGCTTTCTTGTTCACTTTTATGCTGTCCCTGATTTGCCTTGTCAGCCATGGTTGCCTCTTTTAATATAAAGGGTAGCAGATCTAAAACAGATGAGAAGTCACTTCTCTCAAGAGGTCATGAATCTGTGGAATTCATTAACTTATAATGTGATGGATTCCAGGACATTGATTGCGGTGGTAAGGCAGCTCAGTGGTTTAGCACTACTGCCTCACAGCACCAGAGACCTGGATTCGATTCCAATCTCGTGCAACCGTCTGCTTGGAGTATACACGTTCTATCCGTGTCAGTGTGGCTTTTCTCCAGATACTCTGGTTTCCTCCCAGAGTCCAAAGATGTGGATTGGCCCATGGAGTCCAGAGATGTGGAGGTTAGGTGGATTAGCCATGGGAAATGCAGGGTTACAGCAATAGGGTAAGGACTGGGTCTGGATGTGATGCTCTTCGGAGGGTTGGTGTGGACTTGATGGATCGAATGGCCTGCTTCATGAATAAAGTTAAGGAGGAGATGGATAGATTTTTAATTATTAATGGATTGAAGTGTTATGGAGAGTGGGCAGGAACATTGAGTTGAGGCCCAAATGAGATCAGGCATGATCATATTTAAAGGGATAAATTGTCTAACCCTGCTCCCTAAGTTTTTAAACAGTTCATTTACATGGAGGATAATCTGCAGCTGGAGCAAAATGAGGTCAGGATGCTGGACATGGTCTAATGATATTGCAACAAGGAGATACATTGGCTAATGTTCTGGAAACAGGAAATCTAATGGAATATGGGACCTCCTTCCACCATCTGATCATCTGAAATCTTTTTGATCTAAAATCAACAGGAATAAACATATAATATTCAGTAATACATATCTTTCAGTTCTTCAACACGGCCACACTGTGTCTGGATGCTAAATATAAATTGATTAAAAATTAATTTCCATGTTTAACTTTTGATCTGGTGATCATGCATTCAGATAACTGTGTGTCCAGTACTCAGCAAGTCTCACATTATACAAACCCAATTGACTCGCTATCCCTTTGATATATTACAGCTTTGTTTTACACCATTTCTTTCAACCTTTCTAAAAAAAATCCTTTTTGAAGATCTACTTAGAAGTCTTTGCACCTGTTCTTGTTTATAATAGAGATATGTATCTTTACAATACTCAGTGTCTGTTGGCCACTGACTGTATTTGTATGTACCTAGTGCTACGAACAGCCCAGAAACAGACATTTGAAGAAGGATGGGGGAATTCTTTTTGAAGGAAAAACACTGATTCACCAACCTTCTAGTATTGTCTTGGATTCTTTAAGAATGAAAATTTAATGTCTTGTGTACTGCTGTGAGCCACTTAAAAGGAATTGTGTTTTAATTGTTTGACATTGACTGTAGAGACAGGAAACAGATTGTTTGAATGAATGGGGTGGTTAGAATTGGAAGATTCTGTAATGAATTCTCCAGGAATATGTTCAGTTGGAGATGTTAAGCCCTTGCACTGAAACTTTGAAATATGCTCATTCTGAAAATCGCCAGTGGATTATTGGTTATTAAGAAAACACAATTGTCTTTGTTCTTCATTAAAATTGAACCACTTGTGTAAAACTAGTCAGATTATTAATTTCTGGATTTTGCCTTCAGTTCATTGTTCTCCACTTTGGACCAGTCTATCTTGATCTGGCTGATTCCCATTGGTTCATCTGATTAGTTTTTAAATGATTCTAGGACATTCTGTCCACCAAGAGTTCATTCCAGGTCTTGCTCACTCTGCGTGTAAAAGAACTTCCAGATGGCAGACTGAAAATGATCTTTTCCTAGTTTAAGCTTATGTTCTTTTGTCCTATTCTGTTAGGTTTAAAGATCTACCATTTCCATTCCCTTATATCTTCGCATATGATTACCTCACAGGTGTTTCTTCCCAGGCCCAGTTATGATGGACCGCTGATACTGGAGATTGGCCTCATGGACCATCTCTACACTGACTTCAGCCTATCAATGTTCTACCTGTTTCTCAGGGTCAGAATAGACTTTGGACCAGGGACCCAAGATGTGGTCCGATGACAGCATTATACATGTTTGGTGACAAACTCCCAATGTAATTGAATGCTTCAGAAAGAAAGACCTGATAGGAAATGTTTAATACCAAACTACTTCTAACCAGAAATTTAAAAAAAAAGTAATGAGAAGTGACATATTCTCCTTTGATTGTTAAATAGGGAGATGTAAACAATCTCTGTTTCTAATGTTCATAATTATATAATTCTTACCTTTAATTTGTTTTAAAATTGGTTATGCTCCCATGCCTAAATTTCATGTTTACATTTCTAAAGTGCATTTTTTATTAAATGGCCGGAGATTCAATATCCATTTTGTGCTACCTTACAAGCAATGTTTTTTCTATGTTGCACAGGAACTCAAAAATTCCAACAGGCCTTGCACAAGCTAGCCCCTTTATGTTACCATGCAAAAAAAAATTCAAGGGGTCATGCACTTATGACAAAACAACTGCATGGAATGGAAAAATAAAAAGAGTGTATGTTGTTCCCAAAACAAATTTCCACCTCACAGTCTGTTTACCAAATAGAAAATTCACCTTACTGCGACCAGGCAGAGAAGACCCAATGGGGTGACTTGCTTATCCTTAACCTATAAGATAGGGTGGATTTTCAATATCTTTACCAGTTCCAGACTGTCAGCCTAATATCCAATTAAAAATATTCAGAACCATTCAAGGAAGGTCTAGAATGGAATGCAGCTCCCGTCCCAATTGAATGGCAGCCATTTGGAGTTGTTAGGACACCTACAGCAGTCTGCAGGCTAAACATTAATTACTCTTCATAATCGTATTTGGGGACGGCATTACCTTTCATGTAAAGTAAACCTACTACCTGTATCCAATGCAACTAAACTCACACTGTTCATCCGTAACTCCTGTGCTGACTGACCCCTGTTGATGTGCTGCCTTCTTTGAACCACTTCAGTTTCCATTGTGCTGTTGGGGAAAGAATTTCACGATTTTAACCTAGTTATCTGCATAATGAAGGAGTGGCAACAGTTCTAAGTCAGGACTATTTGTGTCTTGGGAGGAACTTTGTGGGTGATGGTAATTCTATGCACCCACTGCACTTATCTTTATAAATGGTGAAGGTATTGCCAAAGAAGCCCTGAAAAAGTTACAGTGCACTCTGTGGATAAAATAGACCCACCAGTGGTGCAGGGAATGATTGTTACATAACGTGGATGTAGGGGAAAGGAGAGAATTGAACATGCCTCAATAGTTTCTGTAATTGAATAGTCTTAGTAGGTCCATGGTCATTGAAAAGTGGCCACTTGAACAGCAAACTTGTGATGACAATGCTTCCTGTGAAAAGAAATCCCTCTCTTTTTGACAAAAATAGATATTGCTAGATAAGCTTAGCAGGTCTGGCAGCATTTGTGGAGAGAAATCAGAATTAACGTTTCGGGTCGAGTGACCCTTCCTCAACTGATAGTAGCTAGAAAAATGTCGATTTATATGCAGAAGATAGGATGGGGGAGTGGTTAAGGAATAAACAATAGATGGGGATAGAGCCCAAACAGAGAGAAGAGCAGTTGGACAGACAGAGGAGTATTTAACAATCTGTCTAGGAGAATGAATAGCTATTAATGGGGACTGTTAGTGTGGCTAACAATGGGTCGTGTGTAATATCAGACTATACGATTATAAGGCCTGGTGTGTGAGTGTTGGGGTAAGGAAATGGTAAAGCTCAAGCCCTAAAGTTGGTGAACTCAATATTGAGTCCAGAAGGCTGCAGAACTCCAAGCAGAAAATGAGGTGTATTCTTCCAGCTTGCATTGAGCTTCGCTGGAGCACTGCAGCAAGCCTGAGAGAGACGTTGGCCTCTCTGTTTTTGATTTGCTGCAGGAAGAGGAGGTAGGGAAGGAAATTGGCAAAGGGAAAAATATGCACAATGAGTTGTAACTATGTAAACAAATTAGTATGTGTTGATTGATCTATTTTTAGAGCTGTATAGTAGGAGCTAAAGTACTTTCAGAGACCTTGATCACGCTTCCTGGGAGAAATACACAAAATGAATCTCGACTCATACTTCACTGACTTTAGGTGTAGCTGTAACCATATGTTCTGTAAGATTGAGGTTTATTTTCGCAAGCGTTAATTGCGAAACAGGAGGTTGGGTCTAAAACTTAGTTTGCTTTATCGTGAAAATTGATTGATGTTTTCGTTCATTTACTGCGTGGTACCTACTAAGAATCGTGAAGCTATTAAAATATATTCAATTATCAAACGTGTATGTTTTTTATTCCCCACCCCCGCCGAAAGCAAGTTCTTGTACAGCACAAAACTTCAAAATTCTTCAAAGCTTCCCTGCTGTTCCAAAGTTTTACAGTGAATGAAGCACGTAAAGTGCATATCTGTCATATTTTAGGAAACCTGCCAGGACGTTCCCACAAACAGTGAAGAGATTGCACCTGATCGTGCTTTTCTGATGATTGAGAGATGACTACTGAACGCGATACGAATAACGTCATATTCGTATAGGGATTGGATCATTTATGTATTCAAAAAGCATACCAAAAATAAAACCACTTAAAACAGTGTTAGCACTTCATCAATAACGTCAAACTAAGTTTCGTGCTCAGGACACTGGAGCAGGGCTTGAAACGGCAACATACCACTTACGGGAAAGTGTCATTCACTGTAGACTGGGGCTTCTTTCTTTAATTTCCAGACTCAAACGCAGCAACCTGCTAATAGGAGAACCTGCTATCTCCTAATAGGGGAGAGATAGTACATACTGCAGATGCTGGAGAATCTGAGATAACAAGGTGTAGAGCTGGATGAACACAGCCGGCCAAGCAGCATCAGAGGAGCAGGAAAGCTGACGTTTCGGGCCTAGACCCTTCATCAGAAACGTCAGCTTTCCGGCTCCTATGATGCTGCTTGACCGGCTGTGTTCACCCAGCTCTACACCTTGTTATCTCCTAATAGGGGAAGTAGCTTCTTTCCTCTCGCGTGACCGTCCACGCAGAACTAGACGTCATCACGCTTGACAATTTTTGACGCAACAAGCAAATTCCTAGACAGGCGAACTACAACTCCCATAGAATATAGCGCAAAACACGCCTGCGCAGTACGGGGATAGGTCGGTCCCCAAGTCAAACGTTAGGGGTGGGGTCCCACGACAAAGAGGTGGAGGCGATGGATTGGCCGTTAACCGGCAGGTGGACCTCTTAGAAGCAACGCTTTCGTGACAATCAATGCGGAACTTGACTGTGTTGGCGGCGGCCTGCTTTTGTGTCCTCGCCATTATTATCGCTTTCGGACTGAAGCCTGGCCGAGGTCCCGGTGGCCTGTTCCAGTTTCGAGGTAATGGTGAATTTAACCGTCAAATAACCGCCATGCTCGCTCGCGGCTGCAGGGGTTCGTGACGTCACGGCGGGAGCACCGCATATGCGTGACTTCGGGCGAGGTGACGCCACAGCGGACGCCACGCTCCATGTTGTACTGCGCCTGCGCCTCTTATTGACCATTTTTCACACATTAGAGGTTATTTGCTACTTTCAAAGCATGTGGTTATTTAGCATGATGTTGTTCAATGGTGTCTATGTGACAATTTGTTCACTTTTTCTCAATAGACAACATTTTGAGTAGCTACGAACTCCTTGCCATTTATTTTGTTTTCCTGAATGAAAACATTCGAATTGAAATTTAGGTCGAAAGTGCTCTTAAGATTTTCATGTTTGTTGATTGAAGGCTGATAAAGTTGACTGCAATATCAGTATCACCAGTTAGAAGACTCCAGTCCACTTCATTGACCTAAGTTGGAAGCTATTTACATAGAATCCCCACGGTACAGAAAGAGGCCATTCGGCCCATTGAGTGTGCACCAACCCTCCGAAGATCATCCTACCCAGACAATTCCTGTAACCCCACATTTACCATGGCTAACGTACCTAGCCAGCACATCTCTGGACACTAATGGGCAATTTAGCGTGGATAATCCACCGAACCTGTACATCTTTGAACTGTGGGTGGAAACCGGAACACCAAGAGGAAAGCCATGCAAACACATGAAGAATGTGCAAATTCCATACAAATAGTCACCCAAAATAGAAATCAAACCTGGGTCCCTAATGCTGTGAGGCAGCAGTGTTAACCATGTGGGATAAAACTGCAGAAAGCTGCAGCACGGTGGGATTTGGGGGTCTTGGTGCATTAACCACAAAGTACTAGCACACAAATTAATTGGGTAAAAGGGAAGACACATGGACTGTTGACTTTTATTTCAAAGGGAATAGAGTGTAAAAGTAGGACACAAATGCAGAGAGTGCTGGAGAAACTCAGCAGATCTGGCAATGTGTGTGGGGAGGGAAACAGAGTTAATGTTGAGATTCTGCAAAAGTAGTAGACTCGCCAACTTTAAGGGCATTTAAATGGTCATTGGATAAACATATGGATGATAATGGAAGAGTGTAGGTTAGATAGGCTTCAGATTGGTTTCATAGGTCGGCGCAACACCGAGGGCCAAAGGGCCTGTACTGTGCTGTAATGTTCTATGTTCTATGTTCTATGATTGGCTTGCTGAGCTGGTTTGTTGTTTCGCAGACGTTTTGTTACCATGCTGGGTAACATCCTCAGTGCAGCCTCCGATGAAGCGTCGGTGTGTTTTCCCGCCTGGTTTTTAAACTCTGGAGTCTGTTGAGCTGGATCACTCACTCATCTCAATCCACATGGACAAGGAGAACTGGGACAACACCAAAATCCTGGGACAAGCTAAGCAGAGACCGGCACGGGAATTCCTCGAAGCCTGGCACTCCACGAAGCATGCTATTAATAAACACGTAGAACTCGACCCCATATACACTCCACTACAAAAGAAAACTGGAAGTGAGGCAATCCAGCTCAACAGACTCCAGAGTTTTAAAAACCAGGCAGGAAAACACACCGACCTTCATCGGAGGCTGCACTGAGGATGTTACCCAGCATGGTAACGAAATGTCTGCGAAACAACAAACCAGCTCGGCAAGCCAACCAACTTCAACACCCACAACCCGAGCTATAAATCTACTCCAAAACCTTAGAAAACAGAGTTAATGTTTCAAGTCCAATATGTTTCTTCTTCAGTTCTGAAGCAGTCATACTAGGACTCAAAACATTAACCATATTTCTCACCCAGCAGCTGTTGCCGGACCTGATGAGTTTCTCCAGCATTTCACATTTCCAGCATCGGCAGTGTTTTGCTTTTATAAAAGTGGGGAAGTCTAGCTAGACCACAGCTGGATTACTGTAGGTGGTTTTGGTCCCCTTATCTAAAGAAGGATGTACTGGCATTGGAGGCAGGCTGAAGAATGTTCACTATGTTGATTCTGGGTATGGAGGGATTTTCTCATGAGACAATTAGGGTCGACTTATGATCATTGGAGTTTAGAATAATGAGCGGTGACTTTAATGAAACATGAAATGTACCTGTGAGCATTTATGCGAAGAGGCTGTTTCTTTCCCCTTGTGGGAAAGTCTTAGAGTAAGGGGTCAGCCATTTAAGGCAGAGATAAGGAGGAATTTCTTCTTTGAGGGTAGTGAATCTGTGACATTCTTAACAGCAGACAACTGTTTATGCTGTGTCAATAAGTATGGGATAGAAGGCCAGGATAGAAGAACTTTTAGTCAGTAAGGGAATCAAGGGTGTGGGGATCAGGCAGAAAAAGTGGAATTGAGGATTATCAGGTAAGGCATGATCTCATTGAATGGCAGAATGAACTCAATCAGCCAAATGGCCTCCTTCTGCTTCTCTATCTTATATAGAGTCATAAGACCATACAGCACAGAAACAGACTCTTCAGTCAAACAAGTCCTTGTCGACCATAATCCCAAACTAAACTAGTCCCACCTGCCTACTCTTGGCCCATATCTCTCCAAACATGTCTTATTCATGTAGTTATCTAAATGTCTTTTAAACGCATCTGCCACTCTCTGTATAGAAAAGTTGCCTCTTATGTCCTTTTAATATCTTGCTCCTCTCACCTTAAAAATAGGGCCTCTAGTCTTGAAATCCTCCGCCATAAGGAAAAGACATCTGCCATTCACCTTATTTACACCCTTCATGATTTTAAAAACCTCTATAAGGTCACCTCTCGACCTCCCATGCTCCAGTGAAAACAGTCCCAGCCTATCCAGCCTCCCCTTATAACTCAAACCTTCCATTCCCAGCAACACCCTGGTAAATTTTTTTTGAACCATCTCTGGCTTGATAATATTCTTCCTCTAGCAGGGGTACCAGAACTGGACACAGTACTTCAGAAGAGGCCTCACTACCATGCTGTACAAACTCAGCATGACTTCCCAACTCCTTTACTTAAAGGTCTGAGCAACGAAGGCATGCATGCTAAACGCATTCTTAATCATCCTGTCTACATGTGACACAAACTTCAAAGAATCATATATCTGAATCCCTAGTTCTCTCTGTTCAACAACGCTACCCAAGGTCTAAATTTCAATTGTATAAGTCCTGCACTTGTTTGTTTTACCAAAATGCAATACCTCACATTTATCCAAATTAAATTCCATCTGCCACTCCTCAGCCCATTGGACCAATCAATCAAAATCTCTTTGTAATCTGAGATAACCTTCTTCACTGTCTACTACAACACCAATTTTAGTGTCATCCATAAACTTACTAACCATGCCTTCTATGTTCTCATCTAAATCATTTATATGAATGACAAACAAAGGCGGACCCAGCACCGATCCCTGTGGAACACTACTGGTACGTTGTGCTGAGGAAGTGTCACTCAACCCAAAATGTTAACTCTGATTCTCACCAAGATGCTGCCAGACCTGCTGAGCTTTTCCAGCAATTTTTGCTCCACCACTGTCAAGCCAAATTTGTATCCAATTGACAAGCTCACCCTGAATGCAAGGTGATCTAACTTTACTAATTCGTCCACCGTGCGGAACCTTGTCAAAGGCTTTACTATAGTCCAAGTAAATATATCTTATGGTATTGTGGAGTCTCATAATCCTAATAGACTGACACTGAGAGTGTCGGAAAGAGGGAGTGCTGCAGCATTGGAAGGGCTGTTTTTCAAACGAATTATCAAACCAAAGCTCTGTCTGTACTCTCAGGTGGACATAAAACATTCCATTACACCAATCACGGAAAGGGATAATTTTCCCTAATGTTCTGGCCCAGTATATCAGCTAGTTGCTGACAGCGTGGTGGGAACAATATAAGAGGATATTATGGCGATGTATTGATAGGATGAAATCTTAGGAAACTGTCATCTTTAAGAAAGCTATTGTTCTTTATTCTTCCACAACCTGGGCACTCCCTCGAGAGTACTGTAGGGGATGAGACAGCATATGACAAACACCTTTTTACAGAGCCATTGAAGGACTTGTTTGTCAGGAGGGACAAAAAGGGTGACATGTTATACAATATTCAAGCTTCATTTACTTAGAATACATTCAAGGATGAGCACAAGAAAGGTAAATATCCCTTATGTAAAAGAAAGGCACACTTGTGGGGAAGTCCGGAAGAGATAGCCTTATTCAGAGAGGACTGTTGTGAAACTTGGTACCACTGATATAGTTTAGACATGTTGTATTGATGGATGGAAGCTAGACAAGCAAACAAGGAAGAACTGAATAAAAGGATGTGCTGGTGGATTGAGATAGGTGGATGGGAGGAGGCTTATGTGGAGTATAAACACCACCATAGACTGCTTGGGATGAATGGCCTGTTTGTTTGCTGTACTTCAATGTGATAAAACGTCTGTTGTAATATGTTAATATCTCCCATGTGAAAGATCTGAGTGTTTTGTCACAACCCTATCAACGCTTTGGACTCGTGACAAGCATCAAGAAATTTTGTTCTGCTCCACTGAACAGATTATCTCTTGAATTCTAGATGACCTTTAAAATTCTATAAAGCTCTACATGCTTGACAAACACGTTGTGATTAAGTGATAAACGAGAGACTAGAGCAGATTTGGCTGTGTATGTTTAGAATTCACTGTGATGTACTTTACTAAACCCTTGTGCCAAACAGAAATCTTACTGGAACAAGTAAAAATAAAAAAAATTTGGAAATGCTCAGCAGACCTAGCAGAATCTGTAGGGAAATAAAACATTGTTAGTACTTCAGGGTGATGGCCTTTCACGACATTACCTAACGAAAGGCCTGACCTGGTGAGTATTTCCTGCCTTTTCTGTTTTTTATTTCATGCTTCCAGTATCTGCGGTATTTTACTTTTATATTACTGTGGCAGGTAATTGAAACAAGTGGTCCTTTTATTATTAAATTGTACAACCTAGACTTTCAACCTACTTGATTAGGGCTCTTCCAGACTGCGAGTGCCTGCTGAGAA